TGGGCAGCTGGCGAGTGCAATGGCAGTGGCCGGAGCCTCTCTTACCTCCACGGCAGCATTAAGAGGACACAGGCTGGGCCGAGGGACCTTCTTCCCCCCCTCCCTCCCCGATGCACAAATTTTTGTGGACCGGGCCTCTAGTATGTAAATAAAAAGCACAAAAACCTTTTAAAAAGTTATTCTATTGGAAGACTTAAATTTTTTATTTAAATCTTTTTAATTGTATAAGTTGGGTCATATATATGTATGTATGTTCTGACACACACCTACATATACATGTCAATAATTTATCTTCACATTTAAAGTTATATATTTAGTCTAATGTCCATTTTTATTACTTGTCCGATATTACCAATCTTTGCATTTTGAATTTCTCATTTGTTTATTGTTCAAGGAAGGACTAGAAGAATTAGAAGCCTACATATTTTATTTAGTTGGAAAAATGACTAACTCTTTTAAAGATCAGGTAAGGAATATTGGTAAGGACAGAAAAGACTGGAACAACCGAGGTGAGACCATGAGAAGGAAGGAGAAAGTATAAATTTCTTAATAAACTAAATTAAATATCATATGAAAACAGTAGATAGAACTGATCCTTGAACTGTGTTGTTAATGTGTATATAACAAAATATTAGGGGGAAATGTTCTATAAAACAAATCTATTATTTAGAATAAAATTTCCACAATGCAAATTTTATTAGGGATGAGAGCGTTATTAGGTTCTGAATATTATATATACTAAAGGCCCGATGCATGAAATTTGTGCAAGAGTAGATCTTCCTTCCCCCGGCTACTGGCACCAGCTTCCCTCTGACACCCAGGACCCGAAGGTCGCCTGGTCTAATTAGCATATAACGCTTTTATTATTCTACTAGAGGCCCGGTGCACGAAATTCATGCATGGGGGTGGTCCCTCAGCCTGGCCTGCACCCTCTCCAATCTGGGACCACTTGGTGGATGTCCGACTGCCGGTTTAGACCCGATCCCAGAAATTGGGCCTAAACCGACAGTCAGACATCCCTCTCGCAATCCAGGACTGCTGGCTCCTAACTGCTCACCTGCCTGCCTGCCTGCCTGCCTGATCGCCCCTAACCCTCTGCCTGCCTGCCTAATCTCCCCTAACCACCTCTGCCTGCCTGATTGCCCCTAACTGCCTCTGCCTCAGGCCCCACACCTGAGACCCAGGCTTTTCTCCTCCGGCCAGCCAGAGGCACCTGGGAACCGGGCTTCCCTCCCTCTGGCCAGCCACAGGCACCTGGGACTCAGGCCAGCTTCACCCGGGCCATCCTGCTTTGTCAGGATGTCTGGAAGGTTGTCTGGAAGACGTCCGGTCTAATTAGCATATTATCCTTTCATTAGTATAGATATATGCAAATTGACCAAATAGCGGAACCACCAGTCGGTGGAGGGTGGGGCCGGCAAGCAGTCAGCGTCAGGCCAGCCAAGGCACGTGCCAACAGGCAGAGGGAGGTGACGGTGATGGGGGAAGGAGGTGGCGGTGACCAGCAGCAGTGGAGGGGCAATTGGGGGGGCAGGGCCACGCGGGCCAGCACCGTCCCCTGATAGGCCACCCAGTTGCCTCCCACAGAGGGAGGCCAGCAGTGGGAGCAGTGGCAGGGTAATGGGGGTGGTGCCTTCCCCTGATTGGTCCAGTCACCTCCCACAGAGGGAGGCCAGCGGCGGCAGCAGCGGTGGGGTGATAGGGGCGGCACTGTCCCTTGATTGACCTGCCTGGTTGCCTCCCACAGAGGCCAGACTGCAGCTTAGGCCCGCTCCCTACAGCATTCCCTGAGGGCTACCAAACTGTGAGAGGGCGCAGGCTGGGCTGAGGGACCTCCCCACTGCCATCCCTAGTGCACGAATTTTTGTGCACCAGGCCTCTAGTTATATATGCATGTATGTGAGGCATGAGTGGGGTAGGCACTGAGTGAAATTTGTGTGTGTGCAACACTTAAAAGGGCCAGTTTTCTTTAGTAGAAAACTAGGAAAAAGTAAATTCAAGTCCAAAATTAAGGGTATCTATCTACAAATGTAAAAGATCTAGGTTGTGAGACACTTAAAAAGGGATGGAGAATTTGACTTCAGTGCAGATGGGAAAGGGTGCTTGATAAGGGGGCCAAATGCTTGGGAGCTTTGACACCACAGTGGTAGATGAGAGACAGACACACAGTGTATTTTGAGAACTATTTTGAGGAGACAAATAATGTTGCCAAGAGCCTCCATCTTCAAAAAGAGTCTCATTGGGCAGGAGACAACTGGAAAGGAATTGTTTGTGAAAATAAACTCAATGCTTAAAATGACTTTTTTTTTCCACACAGCATCTTATCTTCCT